AGCTTCATCTAGTGCAAGGAAACCCTGCGAGCACAGGTCTCCTTAACACCACCCAGGTCTCCTTAACACCACCCAGGTCTCCTTAACACCACCCAGGTCTCCTTAACAAACACCACTCCTGCACCTGCCACAGACTGAGGACACTTCTTTAGAAACCAAACTCTCCCTGTACTCTGCACACCAATCAGCTCTGCACTCCAGAGGATATCCAGAGGTGAGGGTTGCCTCCAAAACCCAGTGTCTGAGCCAGTGTTCCCTTGGGGCACACCAGTGCTCCCCTGGGGCACACCAGTGCTCACACCAGTGCCACCTCTGGGGTTCTGCACTGTGCCATGGACACACGAAAGCAGAAGGTGGGAAGAGCTGACACTCTGGAGCCTCCCTGGGCTCCAGTCCTGGCTGCTCAGCTTCCTGAGGCTGCTCCTGGACATCTTGAGGACATGCAGAGAGGGAGAGGGCAAGAATAAACAAATAAATAGATACACAAACAAAGGCCATGAAACCTCCAGTCTGTGCCTCTGTTATTTCAGTTTGTATGTATGAAAAACACATAAAATAAATGGCCAGGCTGCTTGAAAAATCTACTCTGGTGATCTGCCTGGCCAGGATCTACCCAAGCTGTTTGCCAACCTTGTTTTCTCAACAGCAGATCATGAGTTTTCAAATAAATGAAAAAAAAAAAACAAACCACCATCAATTAAAATAGAACGTGGCCAGACTGATTTTCAGATTAAAAGGAGGTACATTTTTAAGAATTGCTATGGAAGTCAGGATCACTTGAAAGAAAAGATGCAGCACAAACCATCTCCTCTCAGCAGGTGCTTCATACCCATGCACATCTCACTGTTGTACAGGCATCCCTTGGCTGCAAGGCCACAGAACAACTGATTTGCACCACCTGCTTCTGCAAACCAAAGGCAGTCTATCTTTTCAGGAAACACAAAATAATTAAGAATAGAAACACTACATTTAGTTTAAGAAAAAAAAGAGGCTCTGATGCTTAATGTTATTCTAGGATCTCAGAATGAGATCTGAATTCCCCCTCAGAGGAGACTGCCATACTCACCCTTTTGCTCTCTACCAAACAATTAAGGAAACGCTGCCCGTTTGCAGCAGCTGTTTGGTGCATCAGCAGAGGCTGAGGAACAAAGTGCTGAGCATGGGGGACAAATTAAACTGGAATGTTGTGTCAGAGAGACCCAAAGTCAGCCTGTCACATAAAGCCAAAGCATTCAGTCACCAGGTGCAGCACCCCAGAAGTGCACAGTTGCTACACACCAGAGATGCTACTCAGAGAACAGAGAACAACTGGTATGTGTTTTTAAAGCACAGCTTTCTGCTGCTAGTTTTGTCTCAGGAAGATGGGTTATAAAGCTTCCAGACCAACTTCTGACTGCAGCCATGTGGTTTTTGTGTCACCCTCTGTGCTGGGGCCTTTACACAATCCCTCATGCAGCTTCACAGCACAGAAAAAAATATCCTGAAGTGTCTGAAATAAACCTCTAATTTTGTTAACCCATTAATTGATATGCATATGACCCTAAGCAGACCCAAGGACAGAAAGCAGCATTTCTTACCACTTGCCTTCAGCAGAGACTTACCCCTCCACTGGCACCATGCACCAGCACACTCTCCCCTGCCTTGGCACGCCCTCTGCATGGGAAGCAGGAAATACTGTCATCATGATTGCAGCACATAATCATTAAGAATCAGATTGCACGTACTGACATCAAATATCATTTCACACAGTATTAATTCCAAAGTATGTTGTGGCTAAACAGGCATAATTAGCCTCTTTGGGAAAACAAGGAGGCAAAATAAATAATACCCCTTGTGAATGTAAGTAACACAGAACTATGTCAACATGCAATGAGCAGCCACCAACAGCCTGGCATGGAACTTACTGAAGGTCTTCACCTGCTACAGAGCTTAAAATAAACCACACTAGTGGTAGCCATTGGTCCCACCAAACTTCACCAGATCCCCAGTCCTAGGGTCTCAGGCAGCAGACTGGAAGCCAGGCTTTCCCTGGCTGCTCTGCCCCAGCAACAGGCAGGACTGCAGGCAGGGACCCCTGGAAGAGCTCCTGAGGGGCAGGGGGGCTGCTCCACACCACAGCCCCCCATGCAGAAATTAGAACTATGCTTGGTTTCTTCCCAGCTAAAATCCCAGTGAGCACTGAAAGAGTTCCACTGTACTTATTGAAGAAGCCTTTCCAGGTCTGTTCTCTTGAGATGAAATACTTCACTGGAAAAGGCAGCTTGTAGCTTCCTGTTAACAATTATCTGACCATTCCATCAGCGTCATAAATTTAATTTCAGAGTCTTAAACATTTCCCACTCATTGATCTCCCCTCGTTTTACAGGACCATGAACATGTTCAGAAGCAAGACACCCAGAGTTAGGGTTTGGCACTTACTTTTGGAGCAGAGCACGATAAGCAGTGAAGTAGGGTATCCCAATGGCTGCTCCCTGCCTGAAGTCCAGTTTATCAGGCAAGGGAAAGACCCTGTCAGCTGCAGCAACTGCATACTCTGCATATCCTCCAGAGATGGTGCCAACGGTAAAAACCCTGTCCCCTTTCTAGAAAGGAGAGAAAGGAAATGGAGAAATTCATCATCTCCCTTATATGTCCCTTCACATACATTAAGAGCAGGTCACAGAAATTTCAGCTATTTCTTACAGCTCTCCTATTAAAAATAACCAGTTCTATTTGTCACAGAGGATATTCTTATCAATGCAATTAGATAAAGCCAATGCAACACAAACCACATCATTTCATATACTTAGACTTCAGTATCATAATCTTAATCCCCACTCTACAGGGTAACACACAAACCTACTGTCTCATTAATATTAACCTTAATGAGCTTGAACACTGAAGAATTCCATCCACAGATTCCAAGTACAAAACCCCAAAAGTTTTTACAAACACAAAGGGAACATTCTTCCATTACTTTTGTTTAAACATGGAGAAATGAACACTCTTACAACCCCCTAAGGGTTACCTCTCTACGTAACCAAACGTATCCTCTCTCTTACAACAGTTACGTAAATTCCAAGCCAGGAAATTGTAATTTTACCTACAATTCTTATGTTTTTTGAGACCAACAGACTTGAAAGGAAGAAAAGATTTTACCACTAAATCAATTTCACAGGTCCCTTTCAGCAAACTGGTCATTGCCTTCTCCTGTGCCAGACCTTCTCCTTGAGAAACTCTAAGAGTAAAGTCCTTGAACAGTTTTAACAACAAACAGGTAACTGATGCAGTTTTATAAGCCAGTAAAATAAAAACAGTTTCCATTTCCCAAACAAACTTCCCAGAACACGTTTCCATTCTGTGTGAGATTATCACCCCAAACAGGGAGCACCCAACTTCAAACACGTGTGCCATAAACACCGTCCCCAAGAACAACCTGTGCACACCTGGCATTGGTGCCTAGAGCAGGCAAACTGGAGAGCCTGTCCTGAGAGCCCCCAGCTCTCGGGGCCAGCAGCAGGGATGAGTCCCCACAGAGCAGCCCCAGCCCCAGCCAGGAAGGGGACCTCCCTCCAGAGATGTCACCACGACAAGCAGCACAGCCAGGAGCAGTGTCACACGGAGAGGGAAACAATGACCTGAAACCTGGTGTGTAACTACCTGGAAAGCAGTGACACGCTCCCCAACCCCTGCCACGACACCAGCCACATCTGAGCCAGGGGTGTAGGGCAAGGCTGGCTTTCTGGCGTAGCTCCCAGAGCGGATGTAGGTCTCCACAGGGTTCACCCCACAGGCGTGGACTCGAATCAGCACCTGCAGGAAAAGATGCTCTTTCAGCAGCCATTCAAAACATTGAGGACTGGAATTCACAGCACAGCATCACAGCATTTCAACTAAATTCTTAAAACTATCAAAACCCCAGTGTTGAATGGAACAAGCACCCACAGAAGAGGAAAAGCCCCACGTTTGTTAAACGTGATGTCTCAGGTCCTGTGAATTCCTGGAGGAAAACCTACATATCCCAGGTGAAAAGTTCTGTGTTTGCATTCTTCCTTCTGCTCTGAGAGCACCTGTTGCTGCCCGATACCACCACACCCCTCCACACAGCCCTTATCTACCTGATTCTCTGTTGGGTCGGGAACGGAGACGTTTGCCTGGAGCTTCAGCACTTCAGGGCCCCCAAACTCAAAGACTCGGACAGCCCTCATCACACCCCTTGTGGCTGCCATGGGCTCCCCAGCATCTGGGGGGACACAAACACCACCCGGCGCTGCCTTCGCAACCCACCCTGCACCTTCAGAACCAGGAGAGCAAACAGACCGACCAAACAGCCTGGCTCCTGGCGGGAATGTCGGCGGGGTGCGTCTGCCTGGGGGTTTCCCCCGCCCTCGGCAGAAGGCAGAACACGAACCCCACCGGGGGAGGGGCTCGGGGGGTGTCCGAGCACCGGCCTTTCCGGGGCAGAGCCGGGCAGGGCTCCGGGAACGGCCCGGAGGAGCCCGGCGGCTGCGGGACCCGGCCCCGCATCCCGGCCCCGCATCC